GAACTACCTGTGCCTCATTTACTTCTGCATCCCCTTACCAAAGTGCTCAGATGGGAGACATAGATAAATGTTATTTTTAATTACATATTTAAGGTGAATGGAGATGGAGGTACATTTACTAAAACAGATAACTCACAAGTCTCCTCATACTAACAAGTGCATATATGTGTATGCACACACACATATTTCTGATTTCTGAAGCTAAAATTAAAATAGGTACCATTATCTTAAGCATAAGCTATTTGGGCACTAAGACAAGAAGGTTTTAGAATAGACAGAAGTTGAAATCAACCAAGAAGTAAGACTCTCCACCACAGATGAGCAAGGCCATGAGTCATCTCTGTGCAGAGAATTGAGTCCTGATAATATCAAGGAAACAAATGATGAAAGTGCAGCCTGTTAGGACAAGCAGATGCATCATTCACACTAATCCAGGTGAAACCCCAAGTAACAAGACTTCTATATCTGGAATGGTTTGATGAACCACCAAATCAAGAAAGTAGAAATAAAGGGAAAGAGGAGTGAAGAAAAGGAAGGAAAAGGGTGGGGAGGAAGGGAGGGGAGGAGAGGAGAGGCTAGGAGAGAAAAGGAAAAAGGAAAGGAAAGGAAAGCCCTGCCATTTTGGAGTAAGTCCATGTGCATTTCCTTCTGATCTTTACCAGTTTTTTTAGACAAGTTCTTTAGTCTGGCCCCATCTTATTTACCTGTGAAGTGGGTATAGTTTTACTTTAATGGGGGTTGTATAAGGTAAAGTACCATACAGTACAGCTTGCAAAATTCTAAGTACAGGGAAGATGGTGGCATGGGAATGTTAAGTTGGAAACACTGTTGGACATCCAAGGGATTGTACATATGCAGTAGGTAACTGGATGTGGAATTCTGAAGTTCGGGGGAGTTCCAGACTGCAGATGTAAATTTAGGAGTCATCTAAAGATAGATAGGATGTGGTTATTGTTGTTGTTATACCTATTTGGGATTTACCAGGGTGACTTAATACAGATCAGAAATGCATTGCAAACATCTGAGTAGACCTCAGGCCTGGCATCAGAGGTGATCCCAAAAGGTGCCAATGAAAGTTTCAAGCCAGGGCAGTGGCTCACACCTGCAATCCCAGCTACTTGGGATGTGGAGATAGGAAGAGTCACCATACACAGTTCAAAGCCAAGGTAAAAAGTTATTAAGACTCTGTCTCAATTAATAAGACAAGCATATGGTACATGCCTGTGATCTCAGCTACACAGGAGGCCGTAGGTATGAGGCCAGTCTGAGGCCAGCCTCTGGTAAAAAAACACAGACCTTACCTGAAAAATACCTAAAGCAAAAAGAGTTAGGTGGTAGAATACCTGCTTAGCAAGTGTAATGCCCTGAGTTTAAACCCCAGTACTACATGGAAGAAAGGAGGAAGGAAGGAAGGGAGGGAGGAAGAAAGGAAGGAAGGAAAAGATTCATTCCACCAAAGGCAAAGAATACCAGGAACAAGTATAAAAAGAATAGATAGCATTTATAATTTGAATTGCTCCTAGTTTGCCTGATTGAGGAAACAGTTTTATAGTAAATCAGATCATAATTTTATACATTGAGTTGTAAAAATCATTTATAGCTTTATGATATAAATTTTGGAGATATTACATATTATCTGTATAGAAATTAATAGGCCACTAGGTGGGTCAACACCTCCTCCCCTTTGTTAAATCTAGATTAGGAAGATGGAGCTGCCTTGGATTTATGAACAAACAACATGATGTGTCAGAATTCCACATGGTAGTTCTAATAATTTAATTTCTCCCAATTCATAAATGCTTCAGCTTTTTAAAATTTTAACATTGTCTCCTTTTTTGATAAATATGTTTGAGCAGTTTTTCAAGCTGACCTGTATGGACCCCATGAATGCCTTTTCATTCTAAGGGTTTTTCAGCCTTTTTTCAATATTGCCTTCCCCAACCAATAAGCCTTTTCAACTTTTTTTATTATAAAATTTTTATTAAGATATATTCGTTATATGGGGAGGGAGGATTCATAGTGACAATTCCAGTTACGCTTATATTGTACATTGGTTAGATCACCCCCATCCTCCTTCCCCTCAACCCTTGCCCACCCAGTTAAAGCAACTGCAAGAGGTTTCTTTGTTCTATTTCATATAGGTGTATGAAGTCCATCTACCATATTCCCTCACCTTAATCTCCTTCATTCACCCTGCTCCCTCCCAATGGCACCCCCATGCACACACACTCTATACCTATTTTACAGTCTTGCCTTTCATTATTAATACTTAAGTTGATGTTCAAAGAGGTTTCTCAAAGTATCCCTGCTGTGTGTATACTTTACTTTAGCCCATTCAGCCCCTTCCATTACTCTCCCTTACCCCTTTACCTCCCAATCCCATTTTCAACAGCTTTCAATACACATCCTTACCCTCTACCTTCACGTCCTATGTTAAGCAATATTGCTGATGCTCTATCGTTCTCTTCTCCTCCCCCCTTTTCCCCAGGTTCCATAGAGGAGTCCACTATTGCAAACATAGTCTACATATGAGTTTGTATTTGATCATGCTTGTTTTTGTGCATATGTTTATATTTTGGATCTATCTTCCAAGTATGAGAGAAAATGTATGGCCTTTGTCTTTTTGAGCCTGGCTTACTTCACTTAGCATGAACACTTCTTCATGTATTTAGTCCTTTGAGCATTCTCTGTTTAATTCATGTCCCATTTCTTCATTGGGATGTTAATTCTTTGGGGTCGAGTTTTTTAGTTCCCTGTAGATTCTGGATATTAGTCCCTTATCAGGTGAATAGCTGGCAAAAGTACCTCTCACTAGACTCTCTTGAGTCTAGTGACTATTTCTTTTGCTGTGCAGAAGTTCTTTAGTTTGAGGCAGTCTAATTTGTTCATTCTTTCTCTTAGAGCCTTTGAGTTCTACTGAGGAAGTCATTCCCTATGACTGTATGTTCCAATATATTTCCTACTACTTCCTGGAGTTGTTTCAAAGTTTCAGGCCTTATATTAATGTCTTTATTACATTTTGAGTTGATTTTGGTTCCAGGGTGAAAAACAGGGATCTAGATTCAGTATTCTACACCTTTTTCAACTTTTTTTACCTAATCTCCACCCCATGAAAGTGTTTTATTGTGAAAAAATATAGATAATATACTATTTATTATTTAACCTTTTGTAGATGTACAATTGCTATTAAATATATTTACAATGTTATGTAACTATCAACACTAGCTATACTCAAAACTTTTTCATCAATCCCACATCAGCTTTTCATTGCTGTGACAAAGCACCTCCAATACATGAGCTTTTGGGTGACATTTCAGAACCAAATATAACACCTGGTAACCTTTGTTGTGCTTTCTGTCTCTGAATTTGCCTATTCTAGGCACCTCATATAAGTGGAATCATATATTTGTCCTGCCTCTGGCTTATTTCACTTTGCATAATGTTTACAAGATTTATCATGTTGTAGCATGTATGAAAATTTCATTCCTTTTTGTAACTGAATAATATTCCATTGAATGTTACATATAATATTTTGTATATTCATTCATTTGTTGATGCACATGTGGGTTGTTTCAACCTTTTGGCTGCTATAAATGTTGGTGAACAAATATCTGTTAGAGTTCCTGCTTTCAGTAATTTTGGATATGTACTTAAAATGGGATAAAATGGGATTTTAAAATGGGATTGCTAAGCCATATAATTTTGGTACCACAGATTTATTGAATAACATATATATATGTATATATATATTCAATAAATCTGTGTATATATATATATGTATATATAATTTTAGCTGTGTATATGTGCTTTCTGCATTTAAAAAGTGAGATTGTTTCAGCACCATCCCCAGAATGAACTTCTACCTCCGTGAGAGGTGGGAGCCACCCACATTGATAACACAAACTCTAAAGTAAAAGACCCTCAGACTTCCTGCCTCAAATGAAGTTTATGTGTAGGTAATGTACATATAGATGCACTGCTTAAAGAATGAAGCCACAATATAAGGAAAATGACATCAAAACACCTAAGTATAAAAAGCAATCCTTATTCCCAATGCAATAAAGCTATTTGTATTTTATATGCTCTCCAAAATTGTCAACATTTGATAAAGAAATGAGCCCCAGAATATTGTAGAAGACAGCTACTGACAGTAATGTTAGGAACGAGGCAATGGACCAAATATTCTAACTAAATGTTCAAAAGCAGTGGCAAATAATGATGTTGTATTCCGCCAAGCCAAAAATATCTCAAACTGCAAACAAAATGATTACAAATAAGCATGTAAAATAGAGGAAATAAATGTAGAATCTGAAGCTCAGAGGAGCAGGAAGCCTGGTTGTCTGCTGGGTGATGGGATGGTCCTGCCAGCCATGCAACTCATAACCATGATTGACAGGTGATATGGCGAGATACCTGGCATACATTCACCTGGGTTTTATTACAGTGTGATTGCCTAATACTACATTGTTTTGTTGTGTAAAGAAGAGATTAAAAAGATTATATAAGAGTATTAAATTACCCAGCGGTTTCAAATACCTGACCAAAATCCTTTAAGTGTCATCAAAGACAAGGAGAGACTGCAGAACTGCTGACATGCAGGAGACTTAAGAGATGTGTCACTAAATGCATTGTGAGGTTCTGGGACAAACAAAGAATGTTAATGGAAACACCAGGGAAATTGAAGTAAAGTCAGTAGTTTAGTTAGTACCATCCCAGGATTATTTAAGATGTTATACAAGATGTTACCAGACTGAGTGTGGGATATACAGGAATTCCCTGTTCAATATTTTCAGCTCCTCTGTGAGTCCAAAACTATTTCAGAATCAAAAGTAAAAACAAATGACCAAGTTTCTGGTAGTTCTTGAGTATCAGAAGCAAATTTGTGAGTGGCAACTGCTGAAGAATGGTTAGTGTGGTGGAATGTATATTTGTAACACAGCATGTTTGATGTCTGCTGTGACAGTCACACCATGTGGGTCTCCTGTCTAATTCCCTGGCAGGGTGTGCTGGGTGCACCGTGTCACCGGTATGTGGGTGTACCCTTTCCTGGAACACATTGGGTCAGGAGCCAGGATCATCTTCTTCGGATCAACAACCATCTTAATGAACTTTCTGTACCTGCTGGGAGAAGTTCTGAACAGCTATATCTGGGATACACAGAGAAGTGAGTATCATTCAGGGGAGCATAAAACCAGAGAAGTGCTGCATACAGGAGTTATGCAGAGGCTGAGGGAAAATTCCACAGCAGCCTCTCCTTTAATCCTCACATGGATCTCTTCTGAAGTTTCATTTTATATTAATTTAGAAGTTTTACTTGAAAGGTTTACCACTCACTCAGTCCTCTTAAGTAGTAAAACATACAAATCTAAAGAGAAAAGCATGTCTATAAAACTTTATAGGGAAAAAAAGCATTAACAGAAAAAAACAATACAGTTCACTCTGATTAACACAATGCTGTCTTACTAAAAGGTCACCAAATTAAGTAGGTAAGTTACTGAGTGTAACCAAGTAGACTCATTAGAAGTCACACAAGATGGGCATGGTAGGGCATTCTGTAATTCCAGCACTCAGGAAGCTGAGGTTGGAGGATTGTGAGTTCAAGATCACCCTGAGCTACACAGCAAGACCCTCTCTCAAAAACACAGCAACAAAGTCACCCAGATCTCCACTCAACATGTCATCTTTTCTGTTGGAGCAGTAGCCTCAAAGGAGTCTCAGCACTGCAGCTAGAATTCTAACTAGCACAGAATGCTTCTGGCCAAAGGGACCCTTCCTCCCAATGGTTATTCTTTTTAAGGTTTGAGGGTGACAAAAAGGTACGGGCAGTTAAGGGTAATACTTTATTGCTGCAGAAGCTCTCTTAACCTATGATTTGATTTCTCTTTTGTTTCCATTTATGACAGAGCCTCCATCTTGGCAAGACACGTAATCTTGTCTAAGTTGTGCAAAACCTGTCCAAAGTATACGTTAAGATAACATAAACACCGGAAAGTGGAAACACCATAGCACAGACACATAGTGATTTGAGTCGAAAACACATCCAAAGGATGGCTGGGGATTCTAGAGAGCTTGCCTCTGACACAGTCCCAGCATTCTACACATCACCTGTGAGTGGACTCTGTTCCACAAACACTGAGCATTGTGCCACCGTGTCAGGAGTTCAATCTAGCAGACAAATAAAGCATGTTGATTGTATGGTCATTGAATCAGGCTATTTTTGTGTGTGGATCTTGAAATACTGTGTACGTGGAGGATGTGAGGAGGTATATTATTAGTCAATGCTAAATGCCACCAATTTGCTAAGGGTTTCTTTCCTTAGCAGCTTTTGGATTTGATCAGTAGTCTATCAGAAAAGGTGTCAAAATATTTTATTCAGTTCAGGCCACGGCTTGGGCAACCAGAAATTAGTCTTTTAGTAATGTTTTTCTCTGTTTGATGGGAGCAGTAACCTTTCTCTATGAGTTAAATGGTAGAAGTATTTAGTTAAATTAGCCAAAATATTTTTTAAACCAAATGCAAACTTTTCACAGCCTCTTGGGAAAATGAAATATTTATGACTGCCTTTGTCCCCTGATTTCCTTGATTCTGACAGTGATTTGGCCATTGTTTGACTAACTCCATGAAAAGATGGTCTGAAAACCAAGGCAGATGAATATACAATCTAGATGAAAAGACTATTGCATTTTAGCAGCTTCAGATGAGGAGTTAAACATAAATAGTGACACTAAGAGAACTTTGCGTGTTCTGTTCAATGTAATTAGTCTATGGCATTCTTTTAAGTAACATGCACGAAGGCTGATCAACATTTTGTCACTCATTTCAAGTGTAGAGATTGATTTTGACTGCATATGTTTAGTTCATTCCATGAGGCGTGTGTGTGCGTGTGTGCATGTGTGTGTGTGTGTGTGTGTGTGTGTGTGTGTGTGTGGCCATCTCCCCATTCACAGCAGGAGCCACAAACTGATGATCTTCCCCAAAATTTTACCCACTAAGAAGCTTCATTAGGCCAAAATGGGATTTTGGTTTTTGAACCAGTGTTTTAAAATTGGGAGTTTTCATGTAAAGGCTCCTTTTCAAATCTTGTAAGCTCTGTCAACAGTGGATAAGAATGGGGTTAAGTTGCCTCTTCTAGAGGGCTAATTTTTCCAAGTCTCACTTGACTCACTTAACTCAGTCATTTTAATTTCTGGTTCTATTAGTAATTGAGTTTGAAAGTGCTGATTAAAAGTGGCGTGTGCGTGTGTGTGTGTGTGTGTGTGTGTGTCTGTGTGTGTGTGTCTGTGTGTGTACTAAATACAATGGAAGATGGTACACAGTCCTCATTACCACACCCTAACTATACAGACTCCCCCAAGAAGAAAGAACACTGCATTTGAGCCACCTTCCTTTATTCCACAATGGTTTTAATGGCTCAATTCCCTTGATTTGGTTACATTCTATTAGCTACAACTTCCAGATAAAAATCACAATACTGCAGAATCTTACATCTAAAAAGGAGCTATTAGACGTCTTTCCTTTTATCAAAACCCACCTGAGTCGCAGAAATCGTAAGTGACCCACTGAAATAGCTGGTGGTAGAGGCAATGTCTTCCAAACAAAGTTTAGTCCAGTGCTGCTTCTAGCGAGCAAGCAGGACTCCATTAGGTTTTAGCAATTCAGATACATGGGAGCAGAGACTTCACTCAGAACCACAGACCTAGGTTGTAAAACAGCAAAGCAAAACAAAAAACACATACAAAAAAATAACAAAACAATCCAACCTGCTAGGAAATATCAACTTTAAAAAGTGAACATTTAAAATAGGATAAATTAGTAGTCAAACATTTGCTCATTCCTCAAGATGGCTTTGTGGAAGCCGTTTAGGTTTGCTATAACAAAGCACCACACACTTGGGTGTCTTAAACAAAAGAAACCTGCTGACTCACATATATAGAGGCTAGACATCCAAAATCCAGGTACTGGCAGGATTGCTTCCTTAGGAGCTGTGTGAGGGAAGGATCTGCTTCAGGCCTTTCTTGGGCTGGAAGTGATCGTCCTCATGCTCACTGGTGTTCTCCCCAGTGTGAGAGAGTCCTCCAGTTCCCCTTTTTACAAGGACAGTATTCATATTTGATTAGGGCCCACCCTGATGACTTCATTTTAACTTTGTAAAGATCCTATCTCTAAGGTCACATTCAGGGACCCCTGGGGTTAGGAATTCAACATATGAATTTGGGGGTACATAATTCAGTCTATAACACTACACACTCTACCCTCACAAAATTCATATCCTCCTCACATGAAAAATACTTTCAACCCATTCCAATGACCGCAAAAATCTTTTCAGCATCAACTCTTAAGTCAAAAATGTCATCTGAAATAAGACATAAACCAGGGATGAGACTCAGAATCTCCAGCTGCAAGTGAACCTATGAAACCCAACAAAGGGTACTTGCTTCTAAAACACAGTGGTAAGGCAGGTGTAGAATGTACTTTCCCCTTCCCAAAGGGAGAAATGGCAGAGGAAACAGGGGTCATGGTTCCCAAACAAGTCTGAAATCAAGCAGGGAAAATTCCCTTCCATATGAAAGCTTAAGAATAATCCTCTTTGGCTGGATGTTCTGTCCCCAGGGCTCATGGGAGGGGTGCAGCCTGGCCTTCCAGGCCCTTGGCAGCTGCTCTGTCCTTCAATCCTAAGCAGCATCCCCACCCTTTGGAACCAAGGAGGAACAAGAGTATGAACCATCGTTGGTGTCATTCCTCCTTTATTTCGTGCTGTCTCTCTCCTTTTCAGTCTAGGCTGGCAGTGATTCTGCTGTACAAAATTCTCAGAAATGGTCCTGAACTCACTTGCAATTCAAAGAGGTCCAGGCATCAGAGGAGAGGGTCCTATACAGTCTTTCCTGGACAGCTGCCTTTGCATCTGCTGAAGTGGTTAATTGGGCCAGGAGTCAGATGCCTAATTCTTTTCTCTTTTCTTTTCTTCTTTCTTTCTTTTCTTCTTTCTTTCTTTCTTTCTTTCTTTCTTTCTTTCTTTCTTTCTTTCTTTCTTTCTTTCTTTCTTTCCTTCTTTCTTTCTTTCTTTCTTTCTTTCTTTCTTTCTTTCTTTCTTTCTTTCTTTCTTTCTTTCCTTCTTTCAAGGTAGGGGCTCACTTTATGCTTGGACTGACTTGGACCAGCACATTGCTGGGATAAGAGACATGCACCACTGCACCCAGCTATTGGTTGAGATGGGGTCGTATAAGCTTTTTGCTTAGGCAGGGCAAACTGTGATCCTCCTGATCTCCACCTAAGTAGCTAGAATTATAGGTGTGAGTCACCATGCTCAGCTGGATGCCTAATTTCTTTAGCAAACAGTTGCCCAGATACATCATTGGCATTCTTTCACATTCTAAGATATTGAGTGTCAGGACTTCAACATGTAAATGTGCTGGAGTAGGGGAAAGTAGGGGTACAATTCAACCCTTAGCAGGTGAAGCATTTCTGTACTTCAGCTTTCAGTATATCTGACTGAGGTGACTGGTCTTATCAAAGTCAGATTTTGTAAGACCATAAATGAGATTGCCCAAGAATGAAAAGTTGGGGTAAGAACAGAGAAAGCAGACGAGGGGGTGGAGGAGGAGGTCAGAGTCAAGCTTAGGTGAGCAGAAACAACCCTTTTCTCCAGTCACCCATACAGGTCTCTTCTCTCCGAGGCCCAGCAGGCTCACCATGTCAGAGCACTGCCCCCTGGTGGAGCCCTCTCCCAGGGTCAGGCAGTGTTGTCTTTTTTGTTCCCCAAGTATACCTTTTGCCTCAGCTTGGTGGCAGGTCTCTTTCTCTTTCTGCTTTTTTGTGTGGAACTTATACTTCTGGTTCTTCAAAACATTCTTTACAGCTGTCTAATTTTTGCCCTCTGCCTCACAGCTACAAATTGAAGCAGTTGAGCCATTTTCCTTCTGAAGGTCAGTGAACACCCCCAGTTCTCCACCCCTAGTTCTGAAGATTCCACTATTGCTGCTACATCTACCTATCCACAGGATGCTTTGGAGGAAACAGATTTTAGAAGGAAAAGAAAGCCCTTATAAGCCCTGACAGCTTCCTAGCAAAAGAGAGAACATGGGCAGAGCCAGGTCTCAAGTTGAGTGTACTGTTGTACAGAATCTGTACAACATTTGCCTTCACCTTGGCTACCCAACAATGAAGGCATGTAGCATCTTCTTGCCTTCAACCCTGTTGTTCCCTTCAGATGTCCTTGCCCCTCGATCTGAAGTTGCCTTAATATGTTTTATGAGAAGTACTTTGAAAACAGTGTTGTAAATTTCTGCCAGTTCCTTAGCCATGAAAACCAAACATAAAAAACTGTCAGAACACTTGCTCAGAGCCTTTATACGCATTCTACTATCTCCTCCTGACCCCAGGAAATATAAACTAGGAGCTGGGAGTGGGAGTAGGTGGGGAAGGGACCTTCCTAATGTAAGCCCTAGAATTATGGCCCTCTGGGGTGTGCCTTATGGTTTATTATATTGTGGGGTCCTATATTTTTGTTCCACTGCTTTCTACCTAGTCCAGCTTTCTCTACATACATTGTTTATTAGTTTAGTCAACAAAGATTAATTGAGCATCTACTAAGAAACAAATTGTGTTAGATGCTAGAGGTGTCATCAGGAATAAAGCAGTTACAGACTTTGCTCTCAGAGAGCTAGCAGTTTATAAAAGCATACTACCAAAACCTGAAAAGCTGTATTCTGAATTCCTTTGTTCCATTGTTGCTAGTGAAATAAACACACAAAAAGTCTCTGAGAACTTAGTAAGATTAGAAAAATGTTTAGCTAGAAGCAAAAAAAAAAAAAAGAACTAGGGAGCATTGCCAAATTTAACTATAATTCATGAGAATGCATTGAACATTTTCATATCCAAGAAAAGGAGACATCGCTGACTAGTCACTGCAGACAACAGGCAAAGGTCTTACTGATCAAATATACACATGCCCTGTAGGAAGAAAAACATGGATCTGTCAGGGTTGATTGACTACAGGGAGAACTGAGGTTTAAGAGTACCTGGGTATGGGCCTGGGGGATGTAGCTTAGGGATAAAGTGCTGGCGTAGCATGTGTGAGGATCTGGGTTCTATCCCCAGCATGGAAAAAAAATTAAGTACATGCAAGTATGTAAATAGTGCTTTGGCTAATAAAGACCCTATGACTTTTGGAAATCCAGAGTTGTGGCCTTAGGAAAGGACAGGACTAATGCAAAAATGTTTATGATACGGTTTAACCCCATTGGCTGTGGCTAAAGGCCGGTTAAGAAGCAGGTTGGCTGGGGTTTTCATGCAAACTCAATGAATCAAGAATCAACTTGCCTCAAGGTCCTCACTCCCAGAAGCCAGAGGAGCTGGCTATGTTGCAATGATGTTGAGTCCTGATTCAAGAAAAGTATGGGGAGAGAGGTCACTGAGGATGTTTCTGGAGAAAGTTAAAAGTAAGTGGCTTTTCTTTTAAGCTAGGAGGAAAAAAAGGGAGGAAGGTGCAGGAGAATGAACAGGGAAAAGTGTGGGAACTTTTGTGAGCAGTTTTGGCAAACCTACTCATACATTAATCTGATGCTCAAATCAGTCACTTTGCTTGTATTTCTAGGTATGGAAGAAGAGAAAGAGAGACCTAAATTGGAATGAGATCCAAGTCTCAAAGGAAGAGCAAGACAGAACAGCCACTGAATTCTGTTACCCCTAGGGCTTTGGCAGTGCAGGAGAGAAAACTTCAAAGGAAGCAGTGGCATCAACCAAAACTCCATGACCCTGAGAAAGGACACCTTTTATGTATGATATGTATAAAAGTGGAATACGCTGGTCTCCAAAATAACTCATCCATTGTGTTTTAAAGTATTCTTTCCAAATCCGTTACTGATAACATCTTCTCTTTTCCTTTTCTAGTTTTAAAACTAAAATTGGTCATTGGATTTTCATTTCTGCCATTATAACTCCATTAAATTAAGGAAGAATAAAATTCTATTGTGCTTCTTCTTGAGAAATGTATGGGAGGTAAAGGGTCCTGAAAGTGGCTGGAATAGTGAACCTAGCCCACACTGCAGACCTGAGAGGAAACAGGATAGAGGATTTCTACTGCAATAAAATCACAGTTGCCTCAAATGAGCAATGTTGTAATAATATATCAACTTAGTCAAATCCCTGAGTGTACTTGCATCTTCTGATTTAATCTTGTGAAACTCTTCCTAAATGTAAATCTTAACTTTAATAAAGACCAACCAGCCCCAAATCTGATGTCTGCATGATGCATCTCAAAATTGGAACAACGTTGGTGTCTCTGTCATTTTGCTTCTATTATCTTCCTGTTGAAAGTGGGTTTACTGCAAGTGATTTGTAATTCTAAAAATAATAATTTTAAAAGCTAATTTATAAAATCTTGACCATAATTATTTTTAAAGTACAAGATAGAATGGCATGAAAAATTATAAAACATTACTTAACATAAATTTAGGTGTTGGATATACATGCCAAGATAGATCAACAAGTGATACAAAACCATTTATTTGAAAAGTTATTAAATTTTTAATTGGTAATATAATTTAAGAAATGCTATAACTCTCTCCCTACCTATACACACAGGTTTGCATGCATGCACATATGCATATATTCTTTTATTTATTCTTTTTTGTCTTCAACCACTTCCTAAGTGAGTCTGATTATTTTCACTGGATACTGACAAGGACCCAGTACTGATCTGAAGAGAGGAGAAAAGTTTCTAGAAGGGTCTTGATAATTTATTTATAGGTAATTCAAAGTAGGTAAATGTGTTTATACTTTACAGTATGTCTAATTTTTATCACATAATTTTATTAAAAATTTCAACCTGAATGAGAAAAGTATAGATAATAACTATGATTACATAGAAAACCTAAAACATATAAAATACTATGAATGAACCCCAGCTAATCATAACAATATCAAGAAATAGGAAAAAAAATTTCATACTAGATCTAAAAAGAAAAACCCAACTCTATCCTATATATTGCAGAACAAATCAAAAATTAATTAATTCTGAAAGATTGAAAGGAAGAAAGGCAAAAGTACACCTGAAAATGATAAAAGGAAATAAGGACTGTGATTTTAATATGAGACAATGTGCAATCTAGGCCCAAGTCCCTCATAGTGAACTCACTCCTTATTTGTGTGCTCCACTTCTGAAAACATAATTATTAACAATATTGACAGCATCTAGAAGAATAGCCTTATTGGTTTTCTACCTCATGGAGTTGGAACTAGTAAGCAGGCAGAGTCAAGAAGAAAAGCAAAACAATACCACATCTTGGAATAACTGATATAATTTGATATTATCAAAGGATTACAAATACATTAAGCTGTTTAACCTGTATTATGACTTGAGTTGAATTCTCTAAAATTCATACATTGAAACCTTAACCCCTAGCACCCCAGAATGTGAAAATATTAGAAGATGGAGCCTTTAAAGAGATGATTAGGTTAAAATGAGACCATTATGGTGGACTCTAATCCAATCTGATCTCTGTCTTTAGGAGACGAGGAAATTTGGGTGCACAAAAAACACACTGGAAATCCACATAGCAAAGACAAGGTCAGGACCAACTGCAAACCAAGAAGAAAGAACTCAGAAGAACCCAAACCTGCTGATACCTTGGTCTTGGACTTACAGATTCCATAACTGTGAGAAAATTAATCTCTGTTGTTTAAGCCACTAGTGAGTGGTATTTTGTTATGGCAGCCCTGGTAAACTAACACTGCCGGTGTACAATGGATTTTGGAGAATGATGATGCATTGTTATAGACTTATGTGGTAACACCACTTACAGGGGCTCTTCCAGAAGAGATGTCCATTTAGCTGGAGTAAACTACTACAAGCCCTGGTATATAGTACGAAGCTATTAAATTTTTCTTCTACCCTGTAAAGACAGCAAGCAATATGCCTATGCTATTTTTTTCAAAGATACTTCAATTCTCTGTATCTGTTACTTTATCAAATCTGATTATCAAATCATTCATGGGACAGCAAGTCTCCAAATTATATCATACCCCTTGGAGGATGTAGGAAACCTTAGCAAGACACAAGCATGCCAATGGATAACAGATAAATGATCCCTTCAAAAACAAAAAATTCAGGAGCTACTCATGTTTTTGAAGTTTCAAGGTCTGCAGTGATCTGAAGGAGACAAGTCACTTTATGCCCTCTACAGTGAAATCAAATGGTTTCATTGGGCATGCATCACTACTAGGAAAGAGACAGAGATCCATGTGCCTGATTGGGTGTCAAAGGAAACAAATAACATTGAGTATTATAATTCTTATCCCTTGACCACAATTAGAGAGAGAAGATAGAGCTTTATAAATTAAAATGAAAAAGGTAAAATGATAGCAATTTTCTGATGATGTGATTTTAAACAAACATATACAAAACTGGCCCCAGTTATTTCTAACTGCTAACAAATCACTCCAAAACTTAGTGGCTTCAAACATCCACATTTACCTTGTTAACAGATCTGCATCTTGGGCAGGTTTGAGTGGATGAGCTTGTCTGTGGGCCACTGGTGTCTGCTGGGCTGAGTTTCAACTAGGAAGGCTGATGGCTAGAGTTATCTGAAGGCTTCTCACTTGCATGTCTAGTGACTGTTGCTGGCTGTGGACTAAGATCTCAGCTAAGGCTATGACTGAACCAAGTGTACATATCCTTCCCGTGTGTCTGTTTGTCATTTTTATGTTAGCTTTGTTACAACATGGTAGCTGGGTCCCAGCAGGTCCAGATGAAAGATTTATTTCTTAATATGACTTAGCATCAGAAGTCACATGGTACCACTTCTGCTGTAGTCACAGACCTGCCAGGATTCAAGGGGAGGAAGCACCAACCCCCAGATCTTGATGGAGGAGTATCAGTGTTATATTTTAAAAGGTATACATGGATTAGTACATATTGGTGGCTAGATTTCGAAATGACAATCTGCCACACACATCCAAAACAATAAACTGAAAAATGGCTTGAAAGTTAAAATAATAAAGTATTAGAATAAAATTAATATATGCAAGTCAGTATTTCCCATACAAACAAGATGCAATGGAGAATTATACAAGAAAATTCCCATTTGCAATAGCAACAACTTTATAAAAGAAAATTATAAAACAAGTAATACAAAATAAGATTTTGACAAGTGGAAACACATATACCACATCCTTTATATCAGGAAGATGCCAGGTCTCAAGTTACTCTATAAATTCAGCATTAACAGCTAAAGATGAGCACTGACCTAGCATGCTCAAAGCCTGGATTGGATCCCCAGCTCTGCAAATAAATAAATTTCTCATGAACTCAATAAAAGTACCAATTTACTTACTTGTTTATTTATTTATGAAATTAATCCTAAAAGTCATATGTAAAAATTACAAACAAGAATTGTTAGGAAAGCGCTGGGAAAAAAAACAAAGCAATGAAGGAAGAGTATACTAACCCAACCAAACGTTAAAACATACTATAAAAACGTCTTTAAAATAAAGCAGTATGGAAGCCGAATGCAGTGCCTCACACCTGTGATGTCAGCTGTTTAGGAGGTGGAGATGAGGAGGACTAAGGTTCAAGGCCAGCCAGGGGGAAAAAGTTAGCCAAACTTCATTTCAGTCAATAAGCAAGGTGCGGTGGCACACACCCCTTATACTAGTGATGCAGGAGGCTGTAAGGAGGAGGATCACAAAACAAAAAGATCAATAATAAAAATAAATAAATATGAGAATCTGGGATATAATAAAGAGTGTGTCTCAAATCAGTGAGGAAAGAAGGAGGATTATTCAATATCATTAGGACAACTGGAAATCCAGCTGAATTTTTTTTAAAGTTGAAAATATATCTTACACATTTTATCCTGATAATTTTTTATTAGGTCAAAGACAATATTTAAGAAATGTAGGAAGTGGGGTGTGGTGGTACATGCCTGTAATCCCAGCTACTCAGGAGGCAGAGGCAGGAGAACTGAAAGTTACCCAGACCTCATCTCAAAAACAAGATAAAAGCAAAAGGGCTGGGGCCATGACTCAAGAGGCCGAACACTTGCTTAGCAAATGTGAGACCCTGGATTCAATTGCTAGTACCACAAGAGGAAGAAAGTACAAGAAGAAGGTTTGGAATTTTTCAGAGTGAGAAAGCCCTTTCTAACTAGGACTTACAGTATAATTGTCATAAAACAGGATCAACAAATTCACAACAAAGTCCATTATATCAAATGAAAAACTCATGCATTGCAAAGCTAAAGCGAAGACAAAATACACAAACTGAAGAAAAAATTGCAACACATATAACAGAAAAATAGCCTGCTTTCCTAAAACATAAAGAGCTCCTAGAAAAAAGGAAACAGCATCCTAACTGGAAAATAATGGCAAAACCTATGAATTACTCAAGGGAAAAAAAATGGGAAATAACTCTGAAACTTAAATGACATCACAATAAGAAAATAGGAATTAAAGTTTACCCATGAGGCTGGCAAAACTGCTAACATTTGACAGCACACTGTTGGAGAGGGTAGGAGAAAATAGACATTTTCATGACTCCTTGTGGGAGTACATAGAGGTACAATCCCTCTGGAATGAAATTTGAACCTTTTAAAATTATAAATGCATGGTATCTCTACACAATGGAATTCTATGCAGCCATGAAGAAGAACGAAATGTTATCATTCGCTGGTAAATGGATGGAATTGGAGAACATCATTCTGAGTGAGGTTAGCCTGGCCCAAAAGACCAAAAATCGTATGTTCTCCCTCATATGGGGACATTAGATCAAGGGCAAACACAACAAGGGGATTGGACTTTGATCACATGATAAAGCGAGAGCATACAAGGGAGGGGTGAGGATAGGTAAGACACCTAAAAAACTAGCTAGCATTTGTTGCCCTTAATGCAGAGAAACTAAAGCAGATACCTTAAAAGCAACTGAGGCCAATAGGAAAAGGGGACCAGGAACTAGAGGAAAGGTGAGATCAAAAAGAATTAACCTAGAAGGTAACACACACACACAGGAAATTAATGTGAGTCAACTCCCTGTATAGCTATCCTTATCTCAACCAGCAAAAACCCTTGTTCCTTCCCATTATGGCTCATACTCTCTCTTCAACAAAATTAGAGATAAGGGCAAAATAGTTTCTGCCGGGTATCAAGGGGGTGGGGGGAAAGGAAGAGGGTGGAGTGGGTGGTAAGGGAGGGGGTGGGGGCAGGGGGCAGAAATGACCCAAGCATTGTATGCATGTATGAATAATAAATAAATAAATAATAATACTGGCAAAATAAAAATATTCCATTTCCTG